CAAGGGCGACGCGCAGCCAGTGCAGCCTGTGGCCCAGGCGTTGAAGCGCACGCAGGTGGGGGGCGGGGCAGGAGGAGGAGCTAGATCGAGCGTCAAGGTCAGATGCGAGTGCAGGCAGGAACTCGAGAAGTGAAAGTTGCGGAGGCAGCGAAACTCGGACATTCACATGCTCGCAATCGCAGTCGTACCCGCCCGAGGGGAGAGGATTGAGAGAACCTCGATGTTGCAGACTGGTCTGGCTCGCGCGATGCTGTGTCGTTCACCCCAATGCAATCCGACTCATGCTGGGGGGCAGGCTGAGAAGTCGAGCTCCGACTCGGAGTACTCCTACTCGGACTCGGAAGAAAGCGGCAAGCAGGACATCATACCCGTTTGACCCATCGCATTGTTGTCGATCCACCCACTCGCCCCCGATGCCCTCCTAAATCGTGTCCCCTCGATCCATGTCCAGATCGCCGCTCCGGTTCTCTGTCTCATATCCTGCCCCTGGGTGCAGCCTTGTGCCATATGGGTGCTTGATGCTGTGCGCGCGGCGTGCTGCAGCTCGAGTGTGGCGCGAGTAGCGCAGCGCGCTTGGCGCGCGCGCCGCGCGCTGCAGCGCGCGCGCCGCAAGGATCATGGACAGAGTGCCGCGTCGGCATCGGGCAGCTCGAAGGACGGCCTCGCGGTCATGCTCGGCGAGGCGAGTCACATGCACACGCTTTTGTCTGGCTGGCAGGAGGGGGCCTTTGGGTTTGCAGGGCCTGCGGCAGGAAAAGCAAGGAATATCGATCAGGAGGACAAGGATCAGGATCGAGGAAAGATCAGGAGGATCAGGAGGAGGAGGAGGAGGATTCAGTGGTGGATAATCTGAATGCGATTGCCCAGGCTGAAGGATCGGGAAGGCGAGGAAAGGACCTCACAGGGCGCCCGCAGAAGGAGCAGGGGCAGTCAATGCACCTTGGTCGACCAACTTCCTTGATGTACTGAGCACGGCTGTCGGGGATGAACAGGATGGGGATACATGAGTGCAAGGAGGATGTAGGATGATACTGGGAGCTTCATCGCATGCATGGGGAGGACGATGAGCAGCCCTGGCTGCAACCCTGGCAAGACGAACTCAGCACCAACGTTGTGGGCCTCCAGACCGCGATCGACAGCTTGAAGTACCATATCCAGAACAAGTCGATGGGGAATGGGTGGGATGTACAAGGGCTGGCGATAGAGGGCGTTGACCGAGGTGACGATGAATGTGGGGCGCATATGGGCGACAACTGGCTGAAGGGGGAGAGGCGCGGAGGTAGAACAGTTCACCCATGGGGAGAAGGGGATTCAGGAAGAGCAGGGGGAGATTGCAACGATGGATCGGGATCCGCTAGCATGTGCATTCAAGCCACTTCGCCCTATCCCATCCGACTGCCCTTGCCGAATATCGGTGACTGTCTGTCGCCCCGTTCTGGCCCCGCACCTCGCGCCGTGCTCAACTGATGCCCAGTGCGCGGTTCGAATCTCGCATGTCTCGCATTTGTCCAGGTCTGACACCGCCGAGCTTTCGAAGGAGGAGTGTGCCAAGTACCTCGAGGAGGCTAGCCTCAGGGGATGCATGGATCGAGTGAGATGGCGTCAGCAGGGCAAGGCAGTCGGAGGGGAAGGGAGGGGCGCTCGAAGAGGAGTGGGATACAAACGAGGACGAGGAGGAATTCAGCAAAGACATGGCGCAGCAAACATAGGGGAACAGAGGTGTGACGTGCGTGCGTGCATTATCAGTGCGCGCATGTATGTACACATACGCATGCGCGTTTTCATACACATAGAGTGGCACATCTATACAACTACATAGATATTCACATACCCATACCTACCTACCTACCTACATACGAGCAGCGCTTTGATCTTCCAAGGTGCACTTGCCAGCATCGATTGTATTGTGAGGCGTCGAGACAGGGACAGAAAGAACGCCCCTTCCCCCATTGAGGGCGAAAGACTTCTACGCTACCATCCTCCCCGTGCAGCAGAGCGCGTCGGCGGCGTCGAAGCGGAGCAAGAAGTAGGGGGGGGCAACGCTCATGATGTTGCATCGTTGCATTTGAACATTGCTTGGGGTTCCCACGGCCGACTCGTTGCGAGCTGCCGCGGCACAGAGAAAATGTGCGGAGAAGGTATGGATAGCACTGCAGCGCCCCTGCAACCATTTCCCATGCACTCCCGCTGCCTCCCCACCCTCGTGCACCCCATCAGCACCTCTCTACGTGCTGCCGATCATGCGCACATCGGATGGTATTTTCGATATGCGTATGCAGATCTGCCATTATAGTAAATATGTATGTATGCATGTATGCATGTGTGTATGCACGTATGTAGGTAGGTAGGTAGGTCTGGGTATGTGAATGTCCATGTAGTTGTATACATGTGTGCCACTACATACGTGCATGCGTATGTGTACGTAAATGCGTGCACTGATAATGCACGCGCGCACGTCACACCTCTGTTCCCCTATATGTTTGCTGCGCCGTTGGAGCCTGAGGGTCGTGCCCACGAGGCGATCTCACGAAGCAGGATTGTGCAAGTTATAACACGGCGTCGCGGCGTTCACTCGTTGTCTGCGCAGCTGCGACCAAGTGGTTTCAGAATGCCTCGAACCCAATGCCCCGTGAGACTGCAGTCACGTGTATCATGAGCAAGTGTCGCATGTGATCCAGCGCATGTTCCGGGTTGGTGCGTGCATGGCTCTCCCGCTCCACGATCTCTGGCTCTCTCGTATCATCGGCCGCCCGTCGAGGGCGCAACGTGCAGCGCTCCAATTGGCAGAACGTCCGTCGAGGGCGGAACGTCAGTCGAATGGCAGTCGGGAGATAGTGACAGGGAATCGGTATCAGGAGACCCCCTTCGCACATGATGGATCCACATTTGGCTTGCCAGCTTCGCGTCGGATGAGTTGCGTGCATGCGCGTGTCATGCGTGGGCTGTTTAACATGCTTTTTGTTTTTGTTTTGTGTTTGTTTCTCCCGCGCAGCCCTTTTCCAGGCGATCCGCCTGCCGCCTTGCAACACCAAGTGATCTCAACTTAAGGTTAGCTCAACTTTGGACCGCAGGATGGCTGGCAGAGCAGCGGCAGCTGGAATTCTGACAAGCACTTCTGGACAACCACGCCCCCAAGCAGCAGCACCTGGCGCAGATGATGCGCCTCGCGACGGCAGTGGACTGAGGGAATATCTGCTCAAGGGCTACAAGGACGGCAACCTGGCATCCAAAGACGCGTGCGTCATCAGCTTCCACTCGACTAGAGCTGGCGCCGTCGGTGTCGAGGACCTTGCGCTTCCTGCAGAGAACGCACACCACGCCGAGCACCTTCGCAAAACACTGGGCGCACGCGGCAAGGACACCTTCTACCTCGCCAAGATCCCCATGTGGGACGGGGAGCAGGAGCAACGCACGATCCGAGACTTCCCCATGCACCTGCCCCACGACTGCTTCCACGAGGAATATGCAGCCCACCCAGAGGATTTCGACTTGGATGCGTTCGAGGAGGGCATGCTGCCGCCGCAATACCATTCGCACGCAGTCACGGTGGACAAGGGTCGGCTATCTTTTCCTGCGGGGTATTTTTCAGACGCTGTACCCCATGCAAAAAAGATAGTTTCATTGCATATTATTGGTCGAATTGCCTGACAGAACGCAGACATCTCATATGCGCCTTGCGGAAGAAAGATCTCTGCAAATGCGCGCGCAACGGCCTTTGCACGCTCCAAGCTGTGTTGGCAATAATCGTGTGGTCATTCAACGTGCTGGCATCTGGGGTTTTCCCCGCTGTCGGTCCCGATGGCCTGCCATTCTCTTCCGAACTTAGAGCCAACCAACGCGGATTTTATCTTGCCGCTGGTTTATGCGGCGCTCTCGTTGACATGAGGGCTGACCTGCTCGAATTTCAGTCAGCCCTGGGCTTCAAGAACTGGCAGTCGGTCAATGCACCGTGCTTCATGTGCGATTGCACCAGGGACAGCATGTTTCGATATCCACCTACACCAAACCATTGTGTTTGGAACGAGAAGACGGCAGATTGGTACAGAGCGGCAACGGCAGCATGCGTCAAACGAGTGATCGTTCGGACCCCATCGGAACTCAGGCGACTTTTGAGCGTAATGCGGCTGGATACACAATACAAGGGGTACGGCTTATTTCAACCGTTTCCTGCGTTGGGTCTCAGAGCAGGCCATCGTTTGATGGTCGGCGGAGCCGTGACCGACATCCACGAGGTCAGGCACGTCACATGCCCAGCCGAATTGTACTTTTTTGACAACAACAGCGATGAAGGACTCAATTTTGTGTCGCAGCTATTCGCCGTACCTGGGTTCCACTTGGGGATGCTGTCGCTAGATATGATGCGCATTTTCGATTTGGGTATCACGCAATATTTAGTAGCAGCCGTTTTCGTTCACCTGATCAAATCCAACTTTGCAAATAGTAGGGCGGCAAGCGCATCTTTGAAGGTGCGTGCCAATTTGATACACCTGCGCAGGAGGATGCGAGCTTACTACAAGACATGCTCCACGGACAGGCACAAAAAGAGCGAACTCAGGTCGATCACGTTGAAGCAACTCACGGTGAGTGAGCCAAGACTGAAGGCAAACGCAGCGGAGTCCAGACACCTAGTTCACCTACTGCCTCTTTTGTGCGAGGAGAACCCTAGCAAGTTTACTGATGACAGCCGCTTCTTGAGGTTAGCCTGCAGTGAGATGGCAAAGTTTCACGATCTTGTGCAGTCCAATCCCCGCCAATTGTCTGACGCTGTTGCGAGGAGCATGGAGCAAAGCATCCTCAGATTTTTAACGTATTGGCAGAACTACGGTGGTCATGAGGTGTTCAAGCACCATGTGGCCATCCACTGTGTGATGCAGAGCAGAAGGCTCGGCAATCCACGGTGCAGGTGGACCTACGCCGACGAGAACGAGAATCGGCTCATGGGCTCCGCAGCGAAATCCGCGCACCACGGAGATACGTTTTATGTGACACTCATGCAAAAGGTGCTGCCAGAAACTTTATAAATGCTGTTGTTTAAATTCTATAAGCGTGGACGTGTATGTTTTAACCAGCTGCCTGTTTTTTTTTCTGGCCTGTTAAACAGCCCAGACTCACCTGCGGGGAAGGGTGGGAACGAGAGGCAGCAGGATAGGGTGAGACCAGCGTGAGGGCGCGGCACCTGTCTGCCAGGCTCACTCCCTCGGAGGATGATGATGATGAGGAGGAGGAGGAGGAGGAGGAGGAGGAAGAGGAGGACGAGGAGGAATCACAGGAGGGGGACGAGGAGGAGGACGATATTGAGGAGGAGGAACATGCGGAGGAATTGATATATATATATATATATATATATATATATATATAGGAAAGGGAAGTGAAACAGACCATGCCTCGAGGAGGTCGGGGCACATCGATCGGAGGAGGAGCGCGCGGAGGATCTTGCTCCCTTGCCCGCGCACGCGGCGGCAGTGTCTCGCCTTCTCCCCCCACATCCATCAGTTACTTTCCATTGACAAAGATCCTCTCGGTTGATTCCCTCCTCCCCGCATCCTCTCTCGTTTCTCGTTGCTTTTGCAACGGGCGCTCGATCGAGTGGAGCCGTGCAGGACGTGGGGCCGCGTCCTCGATAGAAACGGCGGTATTGCCCTGCAGCAAGCATGTTTCACGATCTCCCTCGTGCGTCAGAGGTCTGGGTCCTTCTTTTCCTCCTCGTCCTCCTCCTGTTCCTCCCCCCCTTCCTCCTCCTCCTCCTCCTCATCATCATCATCATCATCTTCCTCCTCCTCCTCATCTTCGTTCTCCTCCTCCTCCTCCTACTCCTCCTCCTCCTTCTCCTCCGCGTCCTCCTCCTCCTCCTCCACCTCCTCCTCCTCCTCCTCCTCTTCCTCCTCCTCCTCCTCCTCCTTCTCCTCCTCCTCCTCCTCCTCATATCCTCCTCCTCCTCCTCCTCCTCCTCCTCCTCCTCCTCCTCCTCCTCCTCCTCCTCCTCCTCCTCCTCCTCCTCCTCCCTCCCCTTTTCCTCCTCCCTCTGACTCTGCAGCACCTTTTAAGTTCGTCATAGACCTCCGTGTTCGTCCCTGTCCCGTTCCTCCGGATATCATCACCATGCAGGTGTCATTTCAGAAACATTCAAGGCACCGCTCACTACCAATACGCGCGTTTGGTACCCAGGACCATCCAGGTCATCATTGGCTTGATTTTTCGCACATGGCGCGATTTTTCCACCAGGCGCGAAAAAAAAACATTGTCATTTTCACGACAATGATTTTTTCATGCCGGCAAGATGTCTGGGGAGGCGCACCACGTCCTCCGCGTTCTGGCCAACGGACTACCCGGACCCGCGCGTAGACGAAGCGTCGCTGACAGGATCCCCCACCAGTGCGGCTGCGGCAGGATGGCCAATAGAGTCTGGCTCACCGCTGGACAACGGGATCGCGGTCAGGCCTGGTGCGACTCGTGCCTCGGACCCTGGGCCGGAGAGGCCTCCCTCTGGCCCTTCCTTGGCGACGACGCTTTGCCCGAGGACTTGCGTCCACTTGCTGCGGAGAGAAGAGGACAACTCGGAGACATCACCGTTCCCATGCGGCAAGGACTCTACGGAGCCTGCCCTCTCTGCGGCCTGGGAGAAGCCACTACTGAGCACGTGTGGGGCTGGTGCCCCGCCGCCGCCCTCGCCTGGGACAAGACCAAAGGCCTGACCACCCCAGAGACCTTCTCACCGCGATATGCTCCAGGGGGCAGCACCAGAGACTGGTCTGCCGCCTTCTACACCAGATCTCATTTAGATACTGTGTGAACCTGGACTGTGCCCCCATCGGAGCCGACGAAGCCGCCAGAATCATTGCCCAGGGAATCCCCGTACCAGACACCGACCTCCAGGAAGACAATGAGGAGGAAAACGACATACAAGAAGGGCATGCCCCTGCTGCACCGGCGGACGAAACTGCAGTCTGGGCCCCCATGCTGCACCCCTGTCAACTTTGCAATCCCCAAGGCCCGCACCTGCTGCACATTCAGGGGGCCGCTGGTCCGCATCTCGGCAGACAAGCTCCACGCGCTGGAGGGGAAATCCGGCGCCTCCCTGTCACGACCAGGATCGTGCGGAGTGGGGGTCGGCTCGCCGTCCTCCAAACTGGCGACACCAGAGCGAGTTGGATGCCGCCTGGGTTGGGCTGGTTCCCCTGCCCCAGGACAGACAGGTCCCCCAGTGCCCTCTGGACCAAGAGCTACTGCCGACTCTGCGACCTGCGTACCCTGGTGCTCAGAGCCAGCAGGGACATGGAAGCTGGCGAGGAGATCGCCGTCAGAGACTCCCCGCTCCCCGCTGCCGATGCGGCCCAATGGCCCTTTGAGCTCACCTTCGACGGGGGGGCTCGCCGAGTTGGGGGAGGCGACACGGTCTCCGGGGCGGCAGCTGTCCTCTGGAAACACGACCCGCACCGCGGCTACCCGCGCGTCGTCGCGGTTGCCGTTGTTGCCCTCCCGGGCTGCGACAATGCACAGACGGCGGAGGCTTCCGGGTGCAGAGCGGGACTCGCCCTGCCCCCCCACCTTGACACCGCCCTCCGAGGTGCCCGGGTGGTCGGCGACAATCTTGCCGCCATCCGGTACGGAGCCGGCACGGGGCGCTATCGCCGGCGCCACCTGGCACCCCCGACCATCCCAATCGTGCGAACGCAAGAGATTCTCTTAAAACTAAGATATAAACAAAGGATAGGAGATGAATTTCGGAGACATCGTTAAGATTTGATTCTTGTTTTCTTAAATACAAGAGATATGGTTTATATATAAACGATGTGTCTCCTAGTCTCCTGTCCAATCTCTTAAACATTGGTGGTGTCACTTGTTTTGAAAATAAGAGACGGAAGCCTTAAATTCGAAACCTCAACCCCGAAACCCGAACCCCTAACCCCTAACCCTTAGAAGTTGGCGCACGCAACGAAGGACAAATGAATGACTGACCAACTGAACGGACGCATGAATCCATGAGTGGCCATACCCACGCAACACTATATGTACGTGAGCATGTAAATGTGGATGTACATGTGCATGCACGTGTGGTAATAGTCACAAACCACACCCACAAACACATACCCATGAAGAGAAGCAAGAAACATACTAAAACACACACAACACAATAACACACACACACGCGGACAACATACCACCCCAACCTCACACGCACACACACAACGCACCACCCGCGGCAAACGCACATAAAACAAAACAGCAACGCCTGCATAACAAAAAACTATAAACCGACAAGAGGCACACCCACGAACATAGGCACAGACAAGGAACGCCCGCCACACCACAAGCACAAACACATACAACAATCACACTCACACAAATCACATCCACCAGTAACATAACAAATAAGCCCACCAAACAAACTAAAACATGGGAGTGCCCCTTTGACTTATGCCAGCGACGCAGACCATAAACAAAGTATACATTGCAAGTTATCGCGTGGGCCACGCGCACAAAACACAACCAGTCACGCCCAGAGAACATCACGCCAAACAAACGAACACGCCCACAAACACCGCGCCATCAACAATCACACCGACAAAAAACACACCAACAAACACACACCTACAATAATTTTACGTTGCACAAAAATAAACCACGACACAACATGCCCACAAACACCACGCCCGAAACAATAATAATAATAATAAACCACACACACGCACACACACACACAAACACATTAAAACAAAGGGGGGGGGGGGGGGGGCTCACCCCCATGCTGAACAAACGGGCACAAACAAACACGTGCAACCAACAAACACACAAACTGGACGCCCGCAAGAAGCACACCCACACAAACCATACCCCCTCAAGGCACACCCGCCGCACCAAAAACACACACACACACACAAAAGTGCCAAAACAAGAACACACCCACAAAACCACACCCAAATCAAACCCACTAAAAACACATTCGTTAGTTCATTCACAGTAACTAAAATACCTGGCGTCCCAGAGATGGGTCGGCGGATTCATGTCTCTCTCGCTCGCCCTCACACTCTCTCGGTAGCTGGGTGGCGGCCGTCACGCCTGGTCGCGCCTCGCGCGCTTTTGTCTCGATCGTTAGCTGGGTGGCGGCCGTCACGCCTCGCAGCGCCTTTCGATCGTTAGCTGGGTGGCGGCCGTCACGCCTCGCCGCGCCTCTCGATCGTTAGCTGGGTGGCGGCCGTCACGCCTCGCCGCGCCTCGCTCGCTTTCGCATTGATCGTTAGCTGTGCTTCAACAAACAACGCCAACCTAACAACCCCTCAACAAAACAAAACAAGGCGTATGCAATTCGCGGCAAGTTTAAGGTTGGGACGACGCGTGTCCAATACAAATCCCACCCCAACCCTTTAGGGCTACGTTGGTATAGCGAGTTTGTTCTTCTCTCTTCCCCCTCCTTCCCCTGCTCGGGGGATGGGTTTACCCTCCCCCTGCCCCCTCCCCTGGGCCTGGGGGGGGGGGGAGGGGCGGATGCGCCGCAGCGTCCAAAATGGCCCGGGATGGCTCCAAGAGGCCAAGTCGCAAGATGGCCTCCAAGATGGCCCAGGGTACTCCAAGATGGGTCAAGATAACCCCCGACATACCTCCAAGAGGCCCCAAGACAGCCCCAAAACGGATCTAAGTGCCCTTCGAGCCCCCCACGGCGCCCTCCAACGCGCCCAAACCCTTCGAACAACCTAAGTAAGGACAATCAATGGTTTTGGCATTCTCGCCGTTTCGCGTACGATGGGCCTCTGGGACCTCAAGATGACCCCAAGATGGCCCAAGAGAGCCCCGAGAGGGGCCCAAGAAGGCCCAAGAAGGCCCCAAGATCGCCCAAGATGCGCCCAAGAGCGCCCCAAGACGCCATTTGTGAGCCTCCGAGTGGGCGGCACTCATTGAGGGGCCTCCCCTGTTTGAGCCATGGGGCCCAAGATGGCCCCACGAGGCCTCCCAGCCTCTTCCAAAGACCCTCCACCCCGCCCTTGTTGGCCCAAGGTGGCTCCAAGAGAGCCCCAGATAGCCCAAGATGGCCTTCAACATTGCCTAATATAGCCAAGCGTGGCACAAGATAGCCTCCGACAGCCCTCCAAGATGCCTCAAGGCAGCCTCAAGATGGCCCAAGATAGCCAAGCATGGCTCAAGGTAGCCTCCGACAGCCTCTAGCCGAGCATGGCTCAAAATGGCCCCCAAGAGGCCTCACGAGGCCCCCAAGAGGCCGCATTGTGGATGGGCTGGTGGGGGCACGCGAAGCGTCAAGAATTTCAGGGCAAATAGTTGCAAGATCTCCGTGCCATATCGTTATGATAGCCGTTTGGGCTGTCGGATTTTTGAGGCAGCACAGCTGCCACATGAAGGAACGCAGATTCACTGGCGTAGATCTCAGCAGCGATGTTGCCCAGCGTCTACTGAAAGACCACGTTTCGGTGGATGCGATGCAGAACCCTTGCAATTTGTGGAAGTACGGAACGCCAGGCACTGAGAGC